ACTAACTCATTGTAAGCCACATAGTTTACATGTGTAAAGGTTATTTAGTCACCAGAATTTCTTCTAAACCAAAGACACCAGTAGCAGGTCACTGGACAAAAGCAACATGCCTGCCTGAGGAATTGGACACCAAAAGACTGTCTAAAGCCCTTTGGAACATCCTCGCCTATCAGCTCAAAGATGCATCAGGGAATCACACTGCAAGAACAAAGTTTAGTCATGTCTGTTGGATGAGAGTACCCGCACCAACTCTAACACTGTTTCTATGCACCAGCTTTATAGTTCTTACCATCTGATCTTGGTAATTACCGAGGACCTTAAATTCTTACTGACTAGCAACTTCTAGACTAAGGTCAGTTATCTCATCAGAACAAGCAGGCTTTCTCCTCAGGTTTCCAGATGTGGCCTTACCACTGTGATTTCAGAAGGGTTTGCAGAGGGCTGGAGGTGATGCCAGCACAGCCTTACTGCCTGCAGTCCCCGGGTTTATCAGGAACAGGGCTGGAAGGCACTACTTGGGCAGCTGCGCTAATACAAGTGGAACATCAGACAGCCATCAGATCATTTTAGTCATGAACTCAGGAGGGTTAGAAGGGTTTGGGGTTCTGGTTTGTTTTTTTTTTTTTCCTGTTGTTTTTAATACAAATAACACACTCAATTTTCCATTTTATATTGGAAACAGAACCCTGCTGAAGTTAGTCACAGGTAAACTAGACAAAGAACAGAAAAGACATTCTTTAAACAACAAACAGTAAAGCAGAAGAAAACAGATGCTTTACTTTAAAAGCACCTATGCAAGTAAAACCTTTAAATATAATCCACTTTAAAATATCATAAGAATTTAAAGCACAGTGATGTAGTTTCATCATCTATTGCTGTCTGTACAAACTCACCTTCAAACTATCAAATTGCTACTGACTCAGTCTTCAACTTGGTAATTTTCTAACCTGAGGGTGCAGGGTCAGAGTTAGCCATGAGTGTGCAGAACGTGCACAATCTCATCATCTAGGATGCATGCCCCCAGTATTAAGACTGGGGAGGGAATGGAGAGAGAAAAAAAAAAAAAAAAAAAAAAAAAGAGAAGCTTGATTTTATTGTGAAAATAATTTGGTTTTAAAAAGGCTTGCCCCAGACTGTAATGCCAAAGCGCTGCAGCAGCATCACAAGACAGACACTGCTAGGCTGCTTTCCATCAGCTCTTCCCCCTCTCCTCTACCACTTCTTGAAGCATTCTAAGAAGCTACTGACTTCTTGGCTCTCACTATCATCTTGTACAGGGCGTGAGCCAGGCGTTTCATCACTGCATTAAGAGCAAGAAAACTTGAGGAGGGCAACATTAAAAAAAAAAAAAACAACCAAAAAACAAAACCACAAACAAAACCAAAAGAAACACTGAATGCCGCCTTCTCATGCTTCACTACTAATTTTAAAAAAGGAGGTTTGGAGAAACTTTGGCAGGAGGCAAAGATTTAAAAAAATTAATCCACTGTATGGGAACACAACCCTTCAAATTTACCAAGTATACCATAGAGCTAGATAGATTCCATGTAAGAAAAGTAATACAAATTAATTCAATAAAGCCAAAATGAGATATTAAACTGAACTATTTACTTAGCTTGTTTAATTGAATAGGGGAGGCATATTAAACATCAGGCTCAAGTCTTTCAAAGAAGGGTCTCATGGTACAAAGGCAAGTGAAGGAACCAAAACACAGAATGTTATGACCCTTTTTTTTAAAGATAGTCCCTTATGGTTGCAAACTCTTAAGAATAAAATTCTATTCAAATTTAAAACCAGGAAGAACCCTCTATAGCCATTACAGTTCAGATCAGAATATTGGTCTTTACAGCTGCATGACCTTCATTTTCTCAGAAAAAAAACGTGCATAACTGTCAAAATAGCCATACATGGAAAGGTTTTGGCAGAATGCTGGGTTTTGAAGGCAAAAATATGACATGTAAGTTCCTAGACTAAAGATGTAACTGAATTGGGGGTTTTATGAATAATTTCTGAAAGTATAGTCTGAAGCTTCCTGTTCATGTACTAAAAGTTAATCTATTTCTTAACATTTCTGATTTAACAAGTCTGAGTAAGAGGTTAAAACATGCAAGAGTAAAATGATTACAGCCTCTCCCTAAAACAGTCATTAAGTTCAGGATCAGTTAGCAACTGTGCTGTAAATTTTTATCTAGAAAAACAGGTAAATAAGGTCACCGTACAATTTTATGAAACGAGAACATCAGAAGTGACAGAGCTGCTGTTCACTCAAACAAAATATATACCAGAAAAAAGCTATGCAAAGGTAAAGTCTCTTCTTCCTGCAGTAGATAATACAAAGAAAGTTAATTTTCTACCCAGTCATGATACATGGCCAGCATAAGTGAATTTGAAAATGAAGAACGCTTTGTCCTCTGTGAACACCTTACCCGTGAAAAACTATCAGACACACAGCGACCTGACATTCTGACCTTCAAAGCATATTTCAATTTCAATTCTATTTTTAAATTAATTGCTGGGAAAAGGCATGAGTCACAGCCCTGCTTGGATCCCCCTCTACTGGACGCTCACCAAGTGCTATGTTTATTCTAAAGTTTCCCAAGTCGGAACAGGCTCTGGCATTACCTCCTCAATCAATTTAAAGAACAGGGACCTTATAGTTCAGTTCCCTAAGCCACCCAGGAATACTGGCCTCTATATCCATCTTTATCTTCCTGATTTGGCAAAGACGTTTGCTGCAAATGTTAGGAAGCTACAGGATACCATAAATCCAGCTCTCTAAGAGAAAGGAACCATGCTTTGTCGGGCTGTGTGCTACCTTGGAGGCACCTTGTTTATGAGAAGGTTGCAGCTGTTACTCTCCATCTGTTAGTCAAATCCACTGACACTGAAGGTCACCCGAATCTAAAAGAGAAACCTCCCTGAAGCACAGGTGAGAAATACAGTTTCCCCAGTTGAAACAGTCAAGTGCGTTCCATGCAGCCAGTGTTCGAAGGGTCACCTAGCCAGCCACCTGGAGGAACTCACTACTCAAACACTTGGGAAAAAGGGGGAAACGAGCAAGCGATGAACACATCTTACACGCATTGATGGAGGAAATCGGCATCCTGTGTGCTACAGTTTTATGCACTCCCCAAATCCTGAGTTTAGGAGCAGCCAAACATCCTACTGATAGCCAAATGGGTTGTTCATCACAGCAGGCAAGTTAATAAAGGGACCCAATACTGAGAATTAAAGACCGTAAAGAGAAGTGGAAACCAGAATCTATGGCTATGTATCCAGTCAAACTTTGATTTCCCAGTCATCCTGTGTCATCTCGTTTATTCCCTCTGAAGCATGAGGGAGAGTTACAAACCTCACTGGCGCTGTCACTCTCAGAGCCAGCTAGGCCCCTGCTGCTGACTCACCTATGGAAACCCTTAGTAGTTTGATTTGGTCCAGGCTCTTCATTACAAAGAAGCCTTTTAAGACATCAAGAAATAAATCATCTGCCTGGTTGCCTTTAATGAAAGCACTGTTACATGGGGGAAAAGGGGATGGCGTGTGAAACAATATCCGTAGTGGAACAGCAAAACCAGAAAAGAGGGATGTCTGAATAACAGAATGGAAGACTTGAGAATTAAGTCAAGAAGAGAAACAATAAAACAATAAAGCAGTATGGAAACAGAGCGGGAAGATATAAACAGGAAAGTTACAGTGGAATGAAAAGCTAAAGTGTCTATTTTTCATGAAAGAACAAATGCACCTCATTACGACAAAGGGTTAGTAACATATTTCCATGTACTAACTTCCCGTGCAACAATCACTAGTTCTTTTAGTGGATTACAGCTGTATAACCATAAAAAAATTGTTTCCACATACTGTTGAGGAACTTCAAAAGCAACTAACAAGTCTGAAATCAATCTCTCTTCTCTTAAAAGTTTTACATAGCAAAACGTTGTAACAACTGCATAAAGTATTTTATATTAACAATAGAGAGGAGTTCAGACTGTAAGCTGCTCTAGGCTATGATTCATTCATGGCGCTCTGCCAAAAGAATAAATACATTCAAGACCAATGGCCTCAAGGGGAAAGGTAGGCCACTTTTTAAAAAGCAGAGAGATAAATGATTTACAGAACAGAATACAGTTTAAGATTTCAGCCTATATGGGTGATGAGGAAGGACTTTCTTACATCTCACAAAGATTTACTGCACAGACTTGAATACTGGCAATGTATCAACAGATGGAGTGAACCAGGAACTATTAAACTGCAATTTGCAAAACTCTCTCCAAAGAGCAAGAAATGACCCATTATATTGCTATACACAAAGAAAGTTCATAAAGCCAAATCAAGATCTGCTATGGGTATTTCAGCCACGTAAGACAAACACAGCCAGTTCAGGTTACAGGCAAACGCTGCAGTAAAGTAACACCTGTACAGTGAAAGACCAATCCACTGGCAGCATGACAAACAGTTTAAAGGTTGGGAGGGTTTAACGCCATACAGCATCTGCTGCACATAAAAATGTTTAATTAGCTGCTAAACAGCAAGCAGTACATTCCTATTTTCTCTATGAGAATGTTACTTCTTCAACAAATGCCCTTGCTCAGCTAGCAAGGTTCAGAACTAAGACAGCCGCTGCACTACGGGAGCTGAAGCCAACTCATTCTCACACATCAGCTTGACTTGTAATCGACTTCTAATGTTCTGAACCACCGTTTCAGTAGCAAGCACCCTCTGAAACACCAAACCCACTTCTAAATGTGTCTTACTTTAATATTCAGAACACCACCTTTAACAGACAAGGGGCAATGGGCACAAACTGAAGCATAAGAGGTTTCAGTTGAACATGCAGAAGAACTTCTTTACTTTGAGGGTGACAGAGCACTGGAACAAGCTGCCCAGGGGGGCTGTGGAGTCTCCTTCTCTGGAGATATTCCAAGCCTGCCTGGATGATGTTTTGTACAACCTGCTCTAGGTGAACCTGCTTTAGTAGGAGGGTTGGACTAGATGATCTCCCGAGGTCCCTTCCAACCCTTGCCATTCTGTGATTGAGAATGTTACCTTTAACTGTATTGCTAATGGCTTCTAAAAGAAAGCCGCTCTTTTCAATGCTTCCCTAGAGTTACATTCCATCATTTAAAAAATTCTAGATTTAACTGCTGCTCATCCCCAAACTCAGTGGTAGTGAGGAACTGAAAAGAAAGAGAAACACTGAGCCTCTTAGGATGCAAGGTATCCTTGTAGGATATTCTATTTAAAGTTCTGGTACACACACATCTCCAAGGCACCCTCTCTCAATAAAAGGGAAAACAGTCACAACCTCTAGCTAACAAATAAAAACCACCAAAGGGAATGAGCTGTTAGAATCCAGCTTTCACTTATGCTGCAGCTGTATCCCAGGAGGGGGTCAGCAGTGTTCAACTGCACTGAGGCATCACATAGAATTTTTTTAAAGTTTTTTTACTTCGGTAGATTCAAGCCCAAGCTATACGTTGCCCCTAGTCTCAAAGAGGAATTACATACCTGTTCAACAACGGTAGTAATGTATTCATTTTAAGTCAAGCATGCGATTAAATGCTCTGCTAGTAAGAATTCTCAACCAGATGTTGGGCAATCTTACGACACACGATCTCTCTCAACCAGTGCTTGAACCAGTTATAATTTATGAGCCAGTGGTTTCACATTGTGGTGCTGTTATTTAATCAGGTTTAAAAAGTCCCATCCTCAACTTTTCTTAAGAAAGCACAGGTTGGTCAGGATTGTTTTGTTCAATGGTGTTACTTCCCAGTGTGGCTCATGATGTAAAACTTGACTTAATCGCACTATTACAGGAGGAAGGAATGAGCTCCTTAAAAGTAAGACTGTCTAGTTTTGCCACTGCCTGCTTTTTAATTTGGTCATATTGTTTATTCTGTGAATAAGTTTTTGCTCTATCTGTGCACCACAGATGCCCCTTTTTTTTTCCCCCCTTTCAGCTTGTACATTTCTATACAGCACCTAGGAAAGCCAGCATCCTTGAGGGAATTATGGGAATTACAAAAATGCAATAGTTACATTTTCATTTACAGACAGAAAAAGGAGATAAATGAGGCAAAATTTGGAATAACATTTTAGTTGTTAGCCTTAATTATCTGGTAATGTATTCAGTACATGGAACAATTTTCTAACAATCCAGTGTGCAGCAGCTGGCATTTTTTAAAAACATAAACCCAACTATATTTTTCTGCTTACAGTATTCATTTTCCAGAAGTTGACTAACAGAACAGAATTCACACACACGGACCCACAGATAAAAATACCATTTCACTAAGAGTGATCTCGCTGAACATGTTGAGGACAAATCCTCACCAGGGGTGAGCATCCTCTCCTTTAGAAGGAACATCCTCTCCTTTAGAAGGAGTTAAGGCTCACTTAGGCCCTTTTCCACACAGCCTTAAAAGAAAAAAAACACAACTACTAAAGAAAGCCCAGAACATAAAATTCAGTTACATTAATAAATAAATAAACCAAGCAATCATTCTGCTAACTATTCATACAGAGGGTTATTGTTGAAATTGTCCTGTTTCCTACAAGGAGTTGATATATTACATGACATGTTTCCAAATTTCTTTTGTATCCTAAGACTTTCACAGATGAGGGCTTTCACACACCCCATCACCTCCAAATAATACAGTGGATCCTACTAAAAATCTGCTAACACCAAATTGCCAGTGTAAAAATCAGTCTCTTGTCCACACTCCTGCCCATATACGGCTTCCCCTACAGCAAACTTCATTTGGGGCAAAAAATAAAAGCTTTTACCACATTAGATGACTAAACCAAGCAGTTCTGGCAGCACTGCACTTCATACCTGGTAACTATTTCATTCAAAAGGTCATGACTCCATCCTGAATCTTTCCTTGTGCTGTTCATTTGTCCAAAAGCCTTGCATCTGTCGGGGTCTGTTTCTACCACTGGGATCAGTATTCTCTGTTCTTAAGAATTTTCCACCAAGTATACCTAAGTAAGTCAATATCTGATTTCAGATTTCTTTTTACTAGAGGTTATGCTGAAATGTAAAAAAATTTATGCCTATGTCAAGTTTTCACTACATATGAATTTAATTTTAAGGTGGATAGGGTATATTTTGTATAAAAGACTTCTAGATTATCCAGAAAAGAACCTCTTCATGCAAATAAAAAAAAAAAATCCAGCCAAAACCCAAGGTTAATTTAATTTAAGCAGTGGCTTAAATTCCCTAGCTTCATTTCTTATAAGATAAACTTTTCAAATCAGGGACTTTGGCCTCTTACTAATGGGGACAGAGAATGCTAGTACCATATATACAAACCTTCTCTAGCTTAAGGTGCTTCTTTTGCAGAATATGCCACCGTAAAATGGATAGTCAGCCTCCTAATATCTGGAAAGGGATATCTGAGGGGATTTGTCTTACAAATTCTAGATCTATCATCAACAGATAATGCAAAGTGTTACGAATCTGCCTATGACCCTAGAAAGTTACTATCTCACAGTAATAATATTTTCAAGAAAATAAAAAAAAAAAGGGGGGGACACACATTTATTTTCTGACTCTGGATTCAAAGTTTGCCACTTTAATCACAGGGGAACTTTTAAATATTTATTATTTTAAAATATTTGAGTTTAAAGTAAGCCCGAATGAGTCATATTACATACAATAATGTATTCTCTATCTTCCTTATGAAATTTATGCTTCGAACTGCTCCCTGGAAACAGTTAGCAGCCAATTTCATTCCAATAATTTTTTCTAAGCAAGATCACTAAATCAGATGTAGCTTGAGAGATGGCCCTACCGATCACATAATATACAAGAAAAAAATACATACTAATCAGAAAAGATATATTTTATTTCTATTTCTTTACCTTTAAGTTATTGACAGTCTCACAAATAAAACCACATCTTCTCTCAATTTCTTAATAGAAAGAAAAACATCCAAAATTAGTAAACCCACCTGACTCAGCACAAAAAATATTCTATTTACAACAGATGCTCCAAATCTATTGCGTCACACATGAATACTGTCATTCTTTAATGGGACGATTAACGTAATATGTAATGTAGGAGTCCAATTTTCTTTAGCTAATTTAATTAAGCAAAGGAGAACAAGTTTTATCTTTGAGGACAGCATTTTCAGGAAAAAAAAAATTGAAGAATCAAACAATAGGTGGTTTTGTTCATACAATTTCCAACTTTAAAGCACTTAGAATCTCCTGCCAAACAACACACATTTCATAAGTCTGCACAAATAGGTCCTGAAGGTCAGCAGAAGTATGACTTTCCTTCCAACTCTGACACTTTAGACAACACTTAGCTATGAGTTGGGCAGTTGTCATCTCAGTCTCATGAAAGGATCTGATACCCGACAACTTTCTCATTCAAATGCTCTTTCCCAGACTGAAAGTCATTGTCAAAATTTTGGGATTTAGAACATCACACATCTGAGAAAAAAATTTCATAAAGTGTACCCTGCAGAAGCATCCAGTAAGCATCTTCAGAAGAATTCTAAGGATGAACTTGTAAGTGCAGAAAAAAATGTATTTCTAGAGGACAGTCTCATATCTACTTAAAACTCAGTGGACTTTCCAGTTCCATAAATCCCTGACAGAACTAGAGTTGTGACAGTGAATATTTCGAAAGAGCCTGGGGGTATTTTGGAAAATAAAGTTAGCAATAGATAGAAAATAAGTGGCTTTTATTTTTAATTCATATGTACAATCAATCCTTTTTACTCAGGGTTTCTGAAAATCTAAGCTATAGTGTACAGGAAAATTCATTTCAGTATTTATACAGTATAATTCCTTTGCCCTATTACCATCAAACCTTCCTCTGCTAACAAAAGTTTCCATTTTAGTAGTAAAAATGGGCAAGTAAATCATTAGAACAGGCTTAAATGCATTATAATCTTCTCAAGCAGGCAAAGCAACATCTGCAAAATATTTAGAGAAAAAGTACCACTTATTTACCCATACGCAGTATGTCAGGACTCAAGAGGTCTTCCTCAACCATCCCTTTGTCATTTTATATAATTTCTTCATACTGTAAGTTACAGACTTCTTTGCCCCTAAAAAGAAAAAAAAAAAACCAACAAAACACAAAACCCAGAAAATATTTTCAACATTTAGAAAGGCTAACTCAAATACTAGGTTCTTACTACATTAAATAAATATTTCCCTGGGAGAACAACAACCTAATCTGTCAGACAGACATACAAATAACCTTGTTGCATTAATAACACACTAAATAATGACACAAAAAATATTTTTAAAGACTATCAAAGCATGCAGAATAGGATAGGTTTACTCTGAAGGCCTGACAATGTTGCATACAAGCATGTATAGACAATGAACAAGGTATAGCAAATGTAGAGATTCATGATAAAACTCTTAACCAGTACAGACGGAAACTTCTAATTTAGATGTTTGTTCCTAAACGCTAAATATAGGAAGGCTTTTAGACCATCTGCATGTACTGCAGACCCACACCAAGCCAATATCTTATGCTTTTCAAGCCCTTCCTGATCTACTGCTAGGTAGTGTGTCCAGCTGAGCAGGATTATACCTTGGCTTGGTAATGGACACCAGCAACCTGACAGACTACATTCTGCAGCAGGCCACTCGAGCAGTACTATTTAGAGAAATCCAGGGTGTTAGGCATGCATGTTAATTAGCTGGCCACATTGTGAGAAGAATCTAGTTGTAGCAGCATTTCAGCTCTTGAGACAGGAGCCCACCACCAGATTCTGTAGATAAGATGATGCCTAATCATCAAGAACCACAGCTATGCCCAAAGCTGCACCACCAAATTTTACTGAAGGGATAAAGGGGAAGAAGAGAGAGAGGGGTGAACCAGAACAAAAGAACAGTCTGCTCAAGCAAGACAAGCAAATGCTGCATGACTGGTAGACAACAAGCTTTATACTTCCAAATCCTACTTTACCAATTTCTTCTGCTAATCACGTTTCAGTTAGCCTTGCTTGGTGCATTAGGCACTTGGTTGCCTTGTTGTAGACCAATTCTATGCAGTTAGAATTGAGAAGCATCATGCTGATGCCCATCTTAGGTAAACGTAATCAAACACTGCACAACACCAGCAGCTTTCCAGGACAAACTAACCCAGAGCACTGCTATTCAAAGGCTTGTGAATTAAAAATGAAGACAGAGAATCATTTGTTTCATAAGAAATGCACTGCTGATTGCTGGGGTGAAAATCTATTCTGGTTTCAACAAGTTGTAAAGTACATTATAACCTCCTTGAACATTTTGTTATTGCCTCATCCTAACTAATGGCAGCTACCATTTCATAACTGAGAGACTAGCACATCTGCAAGACAATAAAACTTCTCAACTTGCATAATGAAATGACATCTGTGTCCTTAGGTGAGAAAAAAAAATAATACTGAAATGATGATGGGTATGGAAAATCAGATTAATAAGGCATATACCTAAGTGAATTAAAAGAAGCAAAAATAACAAGATGATGACAAACAGCTATAATTTGGCAACACTGCCAATCTCACAAGTATACCATGGACACCAGCGTGAATATCATGTCACAAGGATGTTGTCTGGATCAGTTTTGCTTCAGAGTAACCTGAAGCCTGTCACTTGTTTATAATAAACCTCATATGAAGCCAGAGTAGCTGCCATACCCCAGCATCATCTTGCAGTAGCCCACAAGTACTGAACTTTACAGTAAATACCATACCATTACACTAGGCCTACAATGAAGGCAGGCATTTTTTCAATTTTCATAAAGATACGGAAGGATTTTGCAGCAGTCATTGCCTCCAAGCTTTTGTAAGTTTTAAATTCAAAGGGATTGAGGATGACTCCCATGCAATTTGTAAAGTCTACCCTTAAAGGCTTTCTGAAGTTCTACCAGAGATGACTTCTCTTACAGACCTAGAGTTAAAAAAAAAGACACAGCCTTTTACTGGGTTTAGTCATCTAGCATTTGCAAACTTAAAAACAAAACATTGTTAGTCTTGGCATTTCAGCGGGGTTCTGAGATCCTAGCCAATGGAGCTACTTATTTCTCCTCCTTCCAGCCTTTTTTGATTAAAAAAACCACCCCAAAACAACAAAAAAAAAACCCCACCCATCATAAAACACAAAGTAACTTTTCAGACTAAAACAGAGTCTAATCACACCCTTACAAATTCAAAAATGAAAAGGCAAGTTTTTAATGGTGCACAAAATGCTCTAATTTTCACCCTTACATGCACAGATTAAAAAGTATGGTACATTATACTTCAATCTACAATCTTTCTTAATTTCTTTATTTAATAGAACACTGTTCACCTGACTAAAAGTATGCAGAAGCAATTCAGCCAGAAGTTTCACAGTATGACACACCAGAACAAAAGGAAAGATTTTTGGAACAAATGAGCAACTTAGACGCAGGCTTAGCCATCTCCTGAATTGGACTTTTTTTGGGGGGGGCGAAGTGTATTGTAATTGGATATGATAACATGATAAAAAGGATATAATTTGATTTTGAAAAGACCTTAGAAAGTAATCAAATTAAGATTTTAATACTTCAAGTGAAAGATGCATTCAGTACTAGCAGTCTAGAGTTAGCAGAAGTCAAAGGAGTATGCCATAATAAGGAAAAGTGCGCGCTCTATTTCTGAAGGAATGTGATATAGTAAAAAGCCTATCATAATAAACACGCTGTATATAATAAGTTTTGCACTTCTTGTGGCTCTAACTGCAGTTCAAATAAACTCCACTTTACCTTTTGTAAGGAATCATCCATACATATATTTTCAACTCACAAAACCAAATGCATCCCATATGTAAGTGCATTTAATAGTTTTTTGTTAAAAGCAAGCACACTAATGAAGTCACGATGGGCTTTTCTTCGCTGCATCTCAAATAACAAGTAAATAATCATGTAAATTCTGAAGCGCCCCTCATATCTGCATTGAAACTGCACCCAGTGTAAGAATTCCAGTTGCAGAACAAGGCCTGACTGAGCTCAGGTACAGCACATAAACCAAAGAAGTGCTTTCAACCTCCAAAGTTAAAACTATGTAACCGTACGGCTTTGAAAATTACTGTCCAGTCTCCTAGGTACTATACTTCCAGGATACAGCCCCTCGAATACTGAAACTGCTCTGCCAGAACTGATGTTGTTCTGCCATTCCAATGAAGTCAGTGTACTTCTAGAAGCGCAGTAGAGCACGTGGCAAATCAATATTAACACAGCTGATACAGCCCTGGAGGACTGTAATGAACTGCCCTGGCACTGCAGCCTGCAAGTCAGCTTGTTCTATCAGCTTGCCAACCTACTCTGCCTCTTGCAGCACCTCAACATAAAGAGATTTTTCTCCTTCATATTTTCCCCCTGCAGGGAGCACTCTACTGAACTCCACCCACTGGAGCCTTAGGTAATAAGATGCTTACATTTCTGCCCTAGCACATCATGCTACAAAGCAAAATACAGGTTTACACATACAGCTGGTTTCTTAAAGCAGCCCTCAGGGTGATGAGTCACATCTGTAGTAAAAGTTAATGGTTGTAATTATGGCTCCGGCTTAGAATCTGAAGCAGTTGGACCACATGAAAAAGTCTTTCTACTTTAGCTATGAATCTATGACTTGGTGGTTCCACCTCCCCTTTAGATTTTTCCACTATATGATACAGAACAAAGACCTAATGCACATGGAATCAAGACCACAAAATTTCAGTGTAAACATAAGTTGTATCTGGTTTTACTTAACTATCCACGTTTGGTTTTTTGGAAGCATTGGTGTTGTGAGATAGTAATTTGGCTGTAAGTCCCCCAAAGTTTCCTGGTAGATATGCCTGGCTGTAGTATTCTGTATTTCCTTTTGGAAAGAAAGACTAATGGGTATACTGCTGAAAAGCTGTCACATGGAGGCAAATATATATTGTTAGTGCATCATGGACAGACACATGCAAAATATTGACACATATTTACAGTGAAGTGCATTGGTATGCAGTTATCTGCTCAGGCAGCTGATGAAGACAGCAGTTATCACAAATCTACAGAATATTTTATACATAAAGCTGTTCCTTACAGTTATAAAAAAAAAATCCTTGAAGACATTACTATACTAATATCCCAATTATAAGAAGACAAATGTTATTTGGAGCAGCTACAAGCATTTGGGCTAACTTAAGTATCTCAAACAATTGCTTCAACTGATGATTTAATCCATAGTATTTCATTTGTAAGAAATTTTCAAGGCTTGCAGCATTCCTCTAGTAAGGTATAAAGAAGATGATCTAAGCTAAAGTATCAACATCTCCTTCAGAGGAGCCAAATATAAGAACTTCAGAGCTAGTTCCCAAAGATCATGCAGACTCTGGCTATGTGGGAAAATAAATCAAATGATGGTGCCATCTCTAATGGGAAACAGAGAGGCAATCTCACCACAGACTCGAAGAAATACATAGGCACATTTTCAGAAACTAAATAGGGCATTTAACAACAAACAAAAACATAGAGCTTGAGCTCAACTTTAAAACCACACTGGCAGAGAAAGATGAAAAAAGTTCTCCTAAATGGGTTGAAATACTTTATTTTGCTTGTGCTCCTTGCCAGTAATGTTAATACACAGCATGCCATCCCAGCAACAACTAGTCCCTATTTAACATTTAATTTAGAAACATGCTGCACATTGGACTACCATGCTATGACCAGAGAGTAGGCATCTCATGCTGTTGTTAAGGTAAAACAATCAGCTAAGGAAATAATTTTGCATCCCCCATTAAATTTCAAAAAGAATGATGGCCACATTATGAAAACTAACTCTTTTGCGAGCAGATGTAGGACAAAAGTACTTGTATAGTTACCAGGAACAGCAAGAAAAAATAGCCACAGCTTGTTTAGTGGAGCCACTGATTTCATGAATATATTTCATAATTCTCTTATGTTAAGAATAGTAGCTAAAGTGAGTACTGCAGAAGGACAGAGCTATAACACTTCTCCTAAAGTCTCTACTAGAAAGTGTGAAAATAGGTCTTAGGGGAACAGAACATTATACAAAACCTGGTTAAAGAATGAAGAAAGAAATGCAGCATCCTTAGGGATTAAATTTAAAAGCTCAACACTTTCCTGTAGTACGCATTCCTTGCACAAGTCAAGCAGATATTTTCAATGTAGGAGCTGCAATGTTTTGTCTTTGTAGGGAATGTATCTATATGAATATTAGCTGACAAACCCCCAAAGAAATGGCAACACAAGACGAACAGCATTAATGCCTGCCCCCTAGTGACTAAATTTTAAATTATGAAATTGTGACTGGGAGAAAATCATTAGAAGAAACATGTTTTCACATAAACTCAATCACAAATGTTTGGACGGAAATATTTTTAACAGGCAAAAGGCTTCTACTAACTAACTCCTAAGCCCATCGTTTCTAAATTCCAGGGGAGATCACTGAAGATCATACAAATGTCACATCTGAAAAATACTGAGGTCACACCCCAGGAAATTTAATTTCTTCTTTAACGTGCACTACAATGTAGGGTTTTATTACAGAAATACTATTTCTGTGCTTCTGTCCACCTGAAGTGAGCAAAACTGGTGGTGCTCCGGTAAGGCCCACGCACAGGCTTATTTCAGCAGGGCTATGCCTGCATTAGCAAGTGAGGCAATATTCCTTTTATGTGCAGCGGCACACATTGCAGACACAGTCGTGATCCTAACCAAAGCAGCAGGACTCCCTTTCTCCAGCCAGGGTGGCCTGCACAGCAATGCTCAGGAAGGTCAGGTCTACAGGCAAGCTTTGCCTTCATTAAACAACATTCAGAGGTTCGGAAATGCCAGAAATGATCCTTTTCCAAATCTAGATTTTCCAAACCTAACTCATTTCCCTCAGCACATAATCTGTGAGCAACCCCAAAAGATCAATCTTGAATTTCGTTGCTAATGGGTTTGGCCAGATTCTGGCAGAAGTGCATAAATATGGTTAAAATAAAACAAATTAAAAGTAAGAAAACTAAACTCTCCCAAGCCTCCTTGCTCAAATTTGGCTTGTGGTTTAGGCAAAGGATCACAATTGTTTTATTCTACCTAAAACAAACTAAAAAAAAAAAAAAAAAAAAAAAGCATCTTCAACACTAAAAGTACCAGTAGTAAATAAATGTTTTTAGATATAAGTGTTACTTTATGTAAGTGGCTGGTTAGAAGACAACTAGAGTTTGTTTTAAAGGGGAAAAAAAAGCCACTATATATATATAAAACCAAAAAGCAGATAAGGCAAAGGAAAGAAAATAATTTCACAAATACCTAGTTTCAGGTGCACAAAACAGAAGATACAGTAAAAACTACAAGTCCTACTAAAAGATGCATTGGGACCCCCCCAAATGTCCCAGTAAAAGTGTAGGCTGTGATTTACTGCAGGACACACCAAAGGACCTAACAATTCCCAGAGGTAATGTTCTACCAGAACAGACAGAAGGGGAGCGTAAATAAGCTGACAAAGCATAACTATTTTAAGTCATACTCCTGCAGTTACATACAAACAGCTTTGCTCCACGGGTCACTCAGGCTGCTAACTTTTACAAGCACTGAATTCAACATGGTAATGTTGTCTTTGGCCCCTCCCCTCGTTTATTTTGCTCTACAAAATCTACTCTCCATGGGTTTAGAAACAGATAGGTTACAAGCTGGTATTTCTAAAAGAGGCATGTTACAATACAAGAAGTCTTGACCACTAGCAGGTAATTTTGACAACAAACCCTAGAAGAAAAAGTCACCTATTTGGTTAGAAACTTTACTTTAGAAACTAATACCTGCAATACACCTAACTCATATGGGACAAAAATATGCTTTTCTGAGATGGAATTATATCCTTCTACTGAAGGTATATATACTGAGCTGGAATTATATCCAGCTACTGAACAAAGTTAGGCAATAGTTTTGTCAGACTTCTTCCAGTTAATAGAACTAGACTATTAACAGAAGCATATAAAAAGTACAACTGTTCCTGCTTATTTTACTCAGCAGACCACTAATGGTCCTGAACACTGCAACTTGTGTTTCTTTACAAGGAGGTAGGAAGCAGAACATGGAGCCACCAACTTTAATAATGGGAAGGGAGCAGCAACTATGAAGTCTGGATAAGGATTGCTCAGTAGGAAACTATACAGCTGCTTGTGAAAGCAGTAACAGCATCGTTTGTATAGAATTGCTTTTGTGGAAGAATTAGGAATAGGTATGAATGAGTTCAGAAAATTATTTGAGCAACTTCATGCAAGCAGCAAGGATTTTTCACTTTGCGGGAATTAAGACTATCTCCTGATCAGAGTTAAAAGTAAATGAAGGCTCAGGTCTTAAGTCCTTCTTTTAAATCGAGCTGCAGGGCTTTCAGCTTTTTAAAATGTAAAAATCAGGTCACCTTAACATTAGATTTATTCCAGAACTTGGAAAAAAGGATGAAGCTCCAGCTATGTAACTGGCAGCAACTTTCATTCAGTTAGGAAGACTCTGATAGCTGAAAAGCATCCCCAGTTTTCCCATGTTTCTACACAAGCAAGTCCTTTTTTTCCCCTTCTACACCTTCTCTGACATTGACTTTGCAATACTCAACTCTTTTTCTAAAGTAATTAATTTTGAAGTATGATAGTTACAGTAATATCCAATGCTCACCAAGTATAGGCTCAGTTTGGAATACATGAAGTCTTCAAATACACACCTGTCTTCCAAGCCTGACAACATCATCAGATCCTGCCAAAGTTGTCTCCCTCGAAACTCATCCCCATCATTTTATGATGAAATAACCTTACAGTCTACATAACACACCAATATTATGTACTGATCATTTCAGGATCCACTCACATGTAGAAAGCCAGAGCAAATTACAGAGTAATTTTTTCCAGTTTCTTAATACAAACAGAACTAGTGCACATCAGCCAAACCTGGCCCACATATAAAATGAAATTGAAGTCAGAAGTTGTTTTTTTGTTACTTTTGGGTTGTTGGGGGCTTTTGTTTCTTTGTTTGAAAATCATATAGACTCCAATTCCTTTTGGCTTTTTTCAATTTCTCAACAGTTATATAAAGCTTCTGCTTTAAATATTACTTTTATTTCCCATGGGCTTTCAATTAGACACCCAAAAAGTTTATTCTTTAAACTCTTGTAACAAGACAGTCTTGGGGCCCTGTAATTTTTACTTTGTGAAATCAGAAGGCCTATGTTGATAGAAACATTCTTACCAGCTGTTAGTATGGTTTTAGCACTCTGCACTATACTGGAAGACCTCACAATTCCCGAAATGCCTGCAGATAGAAAAGCACACAGATGTTACCCATCTTAGCAGTTTTGTGGGGATTTTTTTATCCTCCAACGTACACAAAAAAGTTAAATATTTTTCCAGTTATATAGTCAAGCCAGCCTGAAAGCAAACCACTTAAGCTGAGGAAGTTTGTTTCTGTTCTGCTGTCATACTAATGGAAAAAATTCTGAGCTACTTTAAATTGTTTTATATATTACAAGCAAAAAACCCCCAAAACAAATCAATATTAAAGCAGACAACAACCAGTAGGAATTGATCAAATGAATTCATTTAGCGTTCCCATTATTCCTCTACTAAGATGGTTAGTCACAAAGGATTCAGAGTTGTTTCATTTAAGTGCTGGCATGTTAACTTTCTAGAGCAGAACAAATTATACTCATTGTTTACTTCAATATGAATTTGGGATTTTGCAATTCTCTGATCAAGTAGAGATGCCCATATTGTGCAGTGTTTGTCTGGCTTTTTAAAGTTATCAGCTTTTGGAGATAAGGCTTTTTTACCACTTTGCACTGCAGCAAATTCAGATTTTTAAGTACTAATGGAATAGTAAATAAAACAAACTTTTTTTGAAAAGTACTAAGTTTTACCTGTTCTAGCACATATATATAAAAGCATACCAATATGTACAGAACTAAACTACTGCACATTACTAAATACTTAAAAGTGTAGAAATACAGCAGCCCTGGAGTTACTCTTCCAAACTAACACTGTCGTTCTGCATTAACCAGAATGTAAAATACAATTTCAAATACTATTTGTAAATCCTTCTTTAAAATCAGTCTTTCAAAGCTATTTCTGAAGAACAAAGCTTAGGGAAATCCACTAATAAGTAAGAGAGAGAAAATGTTCCACCGGAAAATAATTTGGGAGGGTAGGGGTGGAGAGGGGAAGTGAACAAATCATGTTGAGCTAGTAAAATAACTCAGGACAATGCAATTCAGCTTGAGTAATCAGCTTTGTCTTGTAGTATTACCAAATGGCTTGTCCTGTCCTTTACCCAGATTCCTGAATTAGGAAAATCTTTCAGCCACAAAAGTGAAAGAGGGAGTTTGATTTGTTCTTCTGAGAGTATAAACTACTTGGCTTGAGAAGACAAGATCTAGCCAATGTTTTGATACTGAACTGCTGTACCACTGTGCACAGCCTGCAATCACAGCCGTGCCTGCATAAATACAACCTTAAGGATAGTTAGCTCAGGGTGGACAACTTGTAGCTCTAAAACTATACACAGCTCACAACCACTGCAACTCCTGCTCCCAGATTCACCTGTTATCACATTACTGTTGCAGTCCAGCCACAGTAGCATGGAAGTTGGCATGGACTGACATGAAAAAAGCTGGACACCTTGATGCCCAGGTGCAATTCATCCTATACTGTCAATGGAGAACTGAGACTCTTGGAAGCTTTATTTCCCCACACAGAAATCAGCGTAAGAGCTCCGTCAGCAGTTGGCTCGTGTCTAGTGGCTCTCAAGAAGCTAGGGAGTTTTTGCTGTGCTCAAGGAGTCTGCAAAATTGGCCACCTGGAACTAAGATGTGTCAAGCTCTTTAAAGATTTCAAGGACTCTTCAAGTACTAAACGTTTTCATTTTTCAGCAGAATAATAAAACATTGATGTCTGCAGCATAAGCTTTAACTTGCTCATACAACATTATCTTTTCTCAGAAAAGCTACCTGTGATGAGGAGAAACACCTCAATCTTTTTTCTCAAAGCCAGAGTTCTCTGCCAGAGCTCATGTATCTGGACTAACTATGAAAACTAGGAAAGGTAACGCCAGCAAGCTAGAAAATTAACTTAGCATTGCAATGTATGACTGGGAGGATATATAGCTTTGTATTTAGATTAAGTTATGCCAGCCGATGAAATTCTGCAGGTGTAAGCATCCCAGACTTAGATGGTTCAAGTATGCCATGCTAATTCCTAAAGACTACTACATTCAGAATCCAAAACAAAACATATCTTTCTATATCAACAGGAATTCTATTTGCTAGTATTTGCTAGAACCTGTTTGCAATCAAAGAAATCCAAACGCATGCTTTTAAGGAATGTGTCTCAAGACCAACCTCTTGTTTTCTTCTTCCTTCTCTCCAAATCATCCTTCTGAACTAGAAGAACATGTACAGTAAATCTGTATATCTATCATGTCTTAAGGGAGATTACAGACGCTGATCTAGGCCTACCTTGATGAACCACAACTCCACAGTCAGGGTCATGGGCAACTTGCAGTAAAATTTCTTCCACATCTCTGTTTTTTCCAGGAGGGTCTACTAGAGAAGTTATCTTTTGTTGCAGAGTCCTTGGCAAAGCCATTAGTTGTGTAAATTGACCTTCAGGACTTTTATCAATCTGAACATTGTAAAAAATAAGACAGTAAAAACATTCAGTGTTAATAAAGTAAGTTCTCTTTCCATAGAAGTCAGAAAAGTCTTTTGGCTATCTTTGACCTCCTATAACTATCTCAAAGAATACGATCCATTTCACTTGTAAAAGTCATTGACAATGCTAATGAAAATTCCCCAAGCACTGGGAAATGCAGTATGCCAGTTCTGAACCCAAAGAGTAACTTAATGCAAAGATGTTAATTTTTATCCAAAAGGAAGACTAATGTACACACATGATCCTGCTGCCTCTGCAAGGAACTTGTCATTGAAATTGTATCATTTCTGCTCTATCCAATTTCCTTTGGAAACGTAAGTACACTACAATGAAAAAAACAAAAGTTCCCAGAAGACCACTTAGCTCAGTTTCTTCTGCTTGAACATAATCAAACTATACAAACACACATTTCAAGTTAGTTTGAAAAACATTTTCTCTGCTTTAAACTCAAACCACATCTGGTTTGTATAATTTGAAGGAAACATTCATTCCACATTTTCCAATCTAAATCAGAAATTCTATGACCCTTTTCTGAATACAATGATACCAGCGTGCAGGCCTGCACACATTTATACAAAGTGTAAGCACAAATACTGAAAAATGCATAATGACTGGATCTCTCCAAAACTGGAGGAAAATATGAAGAGCTCGATTCCTCCCACACAACTTTTTAGACAGTTCATGGAGACATCAGACAGAAGTCTAGTTGCCCTATACACTCCCTTTAGTCAATGGGGAGAAAATGATATCCAGATGAATCACCCACTGACTACAGAGGGAGCCGACAATGAGCAGGCTCTTAACACTATGTGGGAGGAATCCATGCCTGAACCAGAAACAAAAACTAGCGTCTGCCTTCAATTGTTTTTTGAGGTATCTTTTAAGAATTATCTCTGTAACTCTGAAGACATATACTTGGAGAAGGGGTTTCTATTCTGCATTAAACAGCACTCCCGATAGCAGTTATACTCTTCAATCTGGGGAATAACTGCCAATAACCAGATCAAGGTGTGAGGAATACATTATTAAAGCACTTTGCTCAAAATCAACAGTAAAATGATGGCATTTAATCAACAGCCTCAATGACTATTATGGAATTACAGACAGATTTATTATCCAATAACATATCTGTAGTATGCAACCAGGACTTGTAACTTCATGTTGAAATGTGTATCACACTCGGATATTCACACACAGACATGCATACAAGAGGAAAAATTCATATTGGACCCCTGACTGTGACACCTCTCCCCTAACTGCAATGTTACACTTATGCCAGAAAGATGGAATTCAAGATACTGGTAATTTTGGATACCCGTTTCCCCAATACTAGGGAAAAAATGTTTTAATATGGGTATTTAAAGATAATGCCAGAATTTCATTTGGGTTTAGTCAACTGATCTTCATAACTAGCATTCTAGGAATTTTTTTTTGCGAGATGCAGTTTTTGATTTCAGAAAGTTGCACCTCTAAGCTACGGTCAGATTTTTTAACACAAACCATATGTTTATTCATCACTTCCTAGACTGTTGTTTCCATATGGTAGTCATTAAAACACATGTTTTAAAATGATCTTCTCTTGTTCCTGTGCTAGGGCTCTAGTTCTGTGCCCATACTGAAATAAAATGAACAGTAGTTACTACACATGCAGCAACTGGTATTTAAGGCAAGTCTTCTGGTTGCAGAATTAACTAAACAACAGAAACATAACAAATAGCAAGTACGGTGACTAAAGCTGCTCGCCTTAGTGTACGGCATAATTCTTGCCTTCTGTCAATGTGATAAGCACTTCCACTTGCTTGTTTTAAACATGTTTTGAAGAACACTTGCCTCTAGCCTTCCCAGATGGTGCTTATATACCACTTGAGGGCAGTCCTGTAATATGTTACTGTACAGCTTCTGAAAATGGGGAACATTAGGTTTCACTATGTTCTGCACTTTCGATCTGTCTTCTCCTATTACCATTCTGAAATCACCTAGTCAAGAAAAGAAAAACAGTTAATTCATTAGGAAAAAAGGAGAATATAACAGAAAACAACATAGTACAAAGCTGTCATCTAAAACTTTATTCTCAATTCTACCAATGCCTATATAATCCACAATAAGGTTCACCTTCTAATAGTCAAAAAATACTATTCAAATAACTTTGAGCACAGAAAATAAGATTTAGAATTGTTATGTGGCCTCTGTAATGTCATCAACCCAGGTGTCCACATTTTCACTTGGACACCTAAAAACCTCCAGCTGTCAAGCTCAGCCTGAAAAGCCCCAGTAACACAGTTACATTCTTTGTAACCATACATCAGTTTCAACAGATTACTAAACAGATTGACTAGCCCTAATACTTTGTATCTAGAAACAAATAACCTTCCATTTTCCAATATGGAAAGAAAATAATTTGCATTGTCTCTGTACTTCAAGGGCATTACCTGAAGTACAGGTAATGGCAGTCATGGTCAGATCACAATATCACCTTTTTGGTGATGTATTTTGGCCATGTATTTTGTTCATAGTTTGAAAAAGCAACTCCTTTTAACACTTCTGTTACATTATCGACCTTTACACTTTCTTTCATGATACATGACCAAAAAGTTTCAGAAAGAATAAATGAAAGGACAGTCAGTCTGTAATAGAGCATTCGTCTACCTCTATTAGGTACTACCCTGATAGTTCCCAGGGTTACCAGCCAGGAGTTAGAGGCTCAGTGCAGCACATATGAACAAACAAAAGACAGAATCAATTCATTTTCCCACTTCCCACATTCAGGAGATAAATGTTGTTGCGAGGTGGCAACTTGCTAGCATTACTTAGTTTATTTCAATTTATGCCAAGCTGCAAAACAAACACTTCCCATATAAATGGCACTGACTCACAGCTCTCCAAAAACACATAAAAAAAAGGGATAAACATTTTCCAAATTAAAGCATAAGCAACACTTTTCAGCAGTCTCCAAGGAGACTGATTAGAGTAACACATAAAATCAATTTTGCCTGCTAGTATACCCTCTGAAAAGTTTAAGACTTAACAAGACAGCAGCAAAATAAAATAGCCACAAACATTACTGACAGCCCTTTTCTTGAACATTCCCAATGGGGAGTCTTACTGCTTTAGCTTTGTTCACATAGCAGAGCCAATTTCAACATCTTACAGCATGGTAACTCATCTCCCACATTTTTTGATAATTGCACTGTTTCAAAGGACATTTTAAAAAGTATCTTGGTCACTAGTGCTCATCAAGAATCTAAAGACACTCCTGGACATGTTTCAGACATCCCTGATTAGCAACCCTCAGCCATCCCACTGTCTGTACCCTCTTTACTGTTTCTTTCAGATCATGACTCAGAAAAAACTGCTAAGGAAAAGCTGAACAAATTACAATCCAAACTGACCAAAGAAATAGTACATAAGGGACAGTAACACTCCTCAGTAGAGCCAAGCTGCAGCTTATAAAAAAAAAAAGTGCAGGTAGGGTTTAAAGCTACACTTGCATTTCTATACAAGCAGAGAAAGTGGTGTGTAAAGTACAACTCCAACCAAACTTATCCTTAGTGAAGTCACTATGAACATCAACATTTAAAGAGCAATGATTAATTCAATTGTAACAATTAAATCTTGCATTGAAGAGTGATTTGGAATAATTTCTTAATTGTTTTTTCCACAGCAATTTCATAACTAAAGAAAGGAGGAAATTCTCTTACAAAACAAAAAAAAGTCCACAAATACCAACCAGGGGAGCATTAGACGTACACTGAAGAATCATAATCTAGATCTTTAAGTTAACCAGGTAAGAACCTTAAACAAAGCACATTCAGAAAGTAAGAGATAAAGACTATCAGACAAATCAACATTATACAGAGTGAAAATTTTTTTTCCAAGGTTTTGAACCATTAAAACCAAAATACAATCCATACAAACAGAACACCCCCCCCATTATTTCACAATATGCAATCACCCATACTTAGCTGTTCATGAATCAAGCTGATATAAGGAGTTTTGCTTATGTGCCTAGCCTATACCTATTTTCTATAGATAATCACAATTAGTCTTTCCAAGCTGTTATATAACACAGCAGTAAAATACAGTTATTGGAGCATACAACAGTGCAGGCCCACAGCAAGAGAGCAGATGACTTATTATACATTAGACTTCCTACCGTGGTACAACAGCTCTGACTACAGCTGTTCTCCTCGAAAGTCTTTAGGCACCATATACTAACCGGAATAGGAGAGTCCTGCGATCTGCATGTAGAGGTCTTCTTCAGAGAAACTTTCAGGTAACATAAGAAAGGCTGCTGTGACTGCACTCTTCAGGTTGCTAACCAGAGCAGCTTGCAGCTTGCTATTCTCATTCTGTGTCAGTATTTTCACCTGAAAAAGAAGAGTCATTGGAAGCAAGATTTCAGGGAAGTGCTACTGAAGACGGAGCTAGAAGTGTTACTCAATCCAACATGAAAAAATAAGTAAGAAATTCATTTATGGTTAGATCCTGTTATGGTACAATAAATACTAGAGTGTCCCCTTTTGTTTACACAGTGAGAGAGAAAGTACCATCTTTTTTTAACAGCCTGCTACAAAAGGCTGTTTTTACAAACATGTTTGGAATTGCTATACGTAACTACCATTAACTAATCTCTGAAGAGCTATTCACCTTTCCACATTCATGAATTTAGGATTAATCAAACCAGTAAATATGAACGCATTAACAGAAATACTTCATATGTGATTATGCATCAAGAAAAAAAACACTGTCACACTGAAGGACAATGGAATACCAGAAAAAGAGGTAAGTTTTCCTATTCATCTTTATTCTGGTTTTGGTTTTTTTTTTTTAATAGAGGACTCCTCTACCATATGCTTCAAGTAGTTTCTCAGACATTAGTTGTCCTTCTAGAAGAAGTGGGGCTTTATTTTGCACTTCATATGAGCAGAACCCAAACTCAATGGGAACTTCACATACACATGAAGAACAGATCACTGAAGTTGAGTGCTTCTACGTGCCACAAAGAGAAGTTTATTTTTAGGAAACATTCACACTGTTCAAGACCAACTAAAGAATCCAGTTGCCTAGGATATGTAAATATACCAGAATAAAAAGCAGATCTTCAGTAAGAACTGGATATAGAAATATATTATTTTAGAACATTAGACAGATGAAGCCAGCCTGGTTTACAAGATAGCCAGCTATACTCTTTCAGAAATAACTCTCCCAAAAATACCTGCCTGTTTTGAGTTTCTGCCTTTTTCAAGTGTTCTGATTAAGCGATACTGTCTTGCTTATAAAGGGCAGTTTCTTAATATTTTTTTACTCTAGCATACCTTAAAATGCAGACCCACTGGCAGTTATGAACAAATGTATCCAACTTGCTCTTACTCCCCAAAAGCCCATTCACATACAAATGAGTTACAGTATTACTTGAAATTCTGCCCCAAATATAACCTGAAACAGCTAAGGTATACTTTCAAGTAAATATTTTCCTTGTGGAATGTAAATAGGCTGTTAATGGAGGGGGAAAAAAAACCCAACAGATTCAGTAAAGAAAGTAAGAGAATCAGACATATCTGTTACACAAAATTCTTCCTGTACAAAGGACATCAACAAAGCAATGTCATGGCTGGCCAATACTGTATGCAGAACATAATTTTTAATTACAGTGAAATCTTTAAGATGGGTAAAACCAGAACTATATCTCATTTTGATACAGTGGTGAACACAACAGTATACAGGCTGCTTGTTACAATCATTCTGCACTACAGTGTGGGTTTGCCTACCATCAAATCTATACAATAGTCTGGAATTGGTCCAGAGTAGATTTTTGAAGGATGTTTTCCCTTCTCTGATTTTCATTTTAAAAATAGTTCACTGTACAAGCGAACATTTCAGAATTCCTCCTAACTTCTCCTGCAAATTACTTTGTATTTCTTAGCATTAAAATGAAAGACAATGATAAAACACATTAAAATGCAACACATTCATCTGTCAGGGAGCCCAGAGCAAATTTTATTTCCTTGAAAACTATGGGAGAAATTTACTGAATGCATACAGACTTCCTCAAATAAGACCCAATAAACAAGACAGGCTGGTCGTGAGGATAAACTAATATTTAAAATCTCAACAACTAATTCACTTATATGTTACTTCCATAACTTGCTGCTACAGGGAAACTCTAAGGAAAAACAGAAGAGAGAAGTCTGTGGCACCCCAAGCAGTCATGCAAACTGCTTATACCCTAGGGCAGCCCTGGTAATAACAGCAAGTTATGGACATATTTTAAGAACACCCCAGTTACAGCCTTTTAAAATGTGAAACTCAGCAGAGATGCTATTCCTCCTCATGGAAGACCACAGACTTGCTTTAGTGAAGTAAAAGGAATAATCTCTTCCTTTGCTAAAAATACTCCCTAACATAAACCAGATTTTTTTTCAAAGGGAAATAATAGGCTAGGATTCAAAATTTAAATGCATGAAACACTGCAGTAGTGATACCATTTATGAACAAATTTTAAACTGTTCAGATAGCTAGAAATCCCCCAAGAAGACAGAGTGCAAAAGGTACCACTGAGATATGACAAGGATAAATGCTGATTCTTGGGCTAAATCTTAAAGACAACCAAAGTTAAGGAAGGATTTTTTACAGTGCAGAGAACTTACGATCACAACTACTCACTGTACCATATCACATAAGGGGAAAGAAGCTGCCCATTTATTCTGGTTTTACAGTATAAAGAAAATTCAATTAACTAACAGTAATTAACAAGTAAGTAAACAAATAAATATTTTAAATGAGGGATATATTCAGTTTTATAAATAAGCATGATCCTCAGTCATCACAACAGTTTAAAGTAGGAAATGTACTACCTTCCTTGCTAGGCAATTCATACACAAGAAAATGCAGGCATGTGTACACAAAGATACCTACAGACAAACAAAATGCACAAAGAAAATCTCATTACAGAATGAAAGGTGTCAAAAGCACTAGTCCAGTTTGCCATTTAGCCACATCCACACCCTGCCCAATATCACGGTAAGAGTGTTTTTCCATTCTCTTTCCAAAAAATGTTTTTACAGATTTGAACAATATAAAAATTCTGTAAACAAATATGTGTTCTGTCACTGCTTCATGGGAATTTTTATAATATAAAATACCTAAACCTCCCAAGACGCATCCAAAAACTACAAGGTATTTCTATACATTATTCATACTCCTCTCTCTCTCACACCTCACTTCAATTTATTAAACACTTCCTTCTCTTAACAGTTTCTTCAGGACAACAGTAAATACAGCTGCTTACACTAAAGCAATTACTACACTATGTTTAACAAAAATTCAGTAACACTTCAGATCCTTTTTACAATCTTCTTCCATTGAAACCAATTATGTGTCACTCATGCTTATTTATTTTACTTTTTATGTACAGCATCATTTTTTTTCCCCAGGAAACCTGTCCGTTATGGAAAAATCAAATAAACCTAGTTACAATTTCTCAATACAGTTAAATGGGAATTTAGCTGATCAGCATTATAAATTTAATGTGGGATGAAAAGCCAATAAACTTTTAACACAAAGAAGCCTGGGAATGAAAGTTAGCATTTCCAAGTGGCAATTCCAGAGTCCATCTATTCTTCCAAACACTCTGGAAAAATTACTTGGTCAAGGCAACCAGTTTATAACAGAAACAAACTCTCCAGTGAAAATTAAGCCAAGATTTTCAAGCCAGAGCAAATGTTTTAGTTCATGTGCTAGAATAGCTTGGATAGCTTTCACTCATAGAGCGACAGCTTTATAATGGAACACCAGAAAGGCACTGGGCTCTTCCCCCTCTATATGAGAGTGAGGAGGAAATTCCCAAACAAACTCTTAAACGATATTAATCTGGCTTTGGTCAGCTGTGTCCAGAACTAGCACAAATGGCATGCAAGAGATTATAGCATATAAGAAAACAAACCTAACCCTGTGTCCCCTCCAAAAGAAGCTTATTGTACGTTTTTAAGGAGGTAAAAAAAAAAAAGCTTTCTGTCACTACCACTTGCAACATACTTATCAAGACATCAGATCGGTTGTAAAGCCAGAACAAGGAGACACTTGAAACCCGTACAACAGATCTAAACAAATTGTTTGGTCATTTTTGGTGAACACAGTATAACATTCAAAATCCTAGTTTAGTGATTTTATAGATTCTACAGGAAGAGACAGTTTAAACATTCACCAAGTAATCTTTCAGTCCAATTCTAGTTTAAGTCCTGCAGTCTTTACTCAATGCAAATTCCTGAGAGCTTTATGGAAATAACCTGTCCTGATTTCTTCTTTTATCTATTAAACACACATGCAATACCTCCACTGCCTTGTTAGCAACCAAACAAAATACCAAATTCTGCCTTCTTATGCAAGTATGTACTCCTACTGAATTTAACCAAAAGATACAAAGCACAATGTATACATACTAAGATGAAAAGTCCTAAAATAAATCAGAGCCGCAGCAAATACAGTTACACTGAAAATAAATATTCAGTACTCATTGTTCATGTGACATTCAGAATTCTTCTTTCCGTTATTTTTCTTAAGGTATTAAATTTCATTCTTTATAAAGACAACAGCTGTTCTAACCTGTATCGTGCTATAATACATCCCTGGAGACAGAGAAAAGCCAGTAGCACTGAGATAATCTATTCAATCTTTCACCCCAAATTTTTAGTTAAAAGCACAATTAACTTCTGTTCTAAGACTTGAACAGAGTTCACCTCTCCTTCCACCCTCCCCTTGTAAGAAATTTTAACTTAGCACTGCTGCCATCTGCTGAAAGCACACCGAATCAGGCACTCATGAGAAAGAAAAGCCCTGGTATTTTTTACAATACAAACACGGAGGAGAAAAACCAACGTGCTTAACACATGGCTCAGTCAATTATAGATACTTTAACAGTACAATGAACTAGACAGTAACCACACAGCAAAGCAGCTTTCATCTTTAAAGATTTCCAGTATTTTGGTGAGTCCTATAATTTGTTAACAAAAGGTGAACATGCATTTAGCCTTAAAGGGACTTTGAGATAAATAGTCCAGTTATTCAAGACTTACTACAGGCAGAGAACTGTGATTAATATGCTTACCTTTGGTTTCTTTTGCATAACACAGAATATCATTAAGGACTATATTTCACTTCCTTTCTGAGAGGTTATCCCTCCAAGACTAGACCCCTAAATCAGGACAGATAATTTGTTCAGTACTGACGCACAGATCTTTAACAGTTAAAAATACAGCTGATAATTTTCCAGCCCTGTAATTTCCTGCATTTCAAGACAGATAACAGACTAACAGTTACCGGTTTTTGTAGGCGTCCAGCGACATAGAGAGTTTCCCAGTGGAGTAAATCATCAATTAGGGTATCAGTGCTAATTACACCATATTTTATCATCTGGAAAAAAGAAAAATAAAGGCTTTTGAAAAAGCATATACCATTTTCACTGTATTAAACTTATGTACTGTAACTAATTCTAAGGAACACACACCTCCAATAAAAAACAGGATGTATAACATTGAAACATTTTAATGTTTCAATGAATACAGGAGGAAAAAAACCTCAACCTATACATATATGCAAGCTTCTAAAAAAAAAAAAAAAAGTGGAACAGGAAGATGCGCAAACCCCTCCAAGATCCTTTCTAGAATCAAAAGTTACAATAAAGTCACCCCAGGATCAATCACTAAAGCAAAAGACTTTAAACCCCAAAGAAACAATGTCTAGACAGACACTAACACCGAAGAGATCTGAACCTTAAAATACAGTTGTTCATAAACAGATTTTGGAAAGGTTATGATCAGTTTTGTACCAGCCAAATGTTACTATAGTTGCAATAATCCAAGGTATCCTTCATGATACTGAAAACACTCAAGAAATAGTTTGTCAGAGATCTAAAATAAACAAAACTCCTAGGCATTTATGTGTACTGTTATTGAGGGGTGGGCTGTGTATCAGAAGCTTTTCCTTTTGCTCTTTGATGTTAGAAAACAAATTTTGATTTTGTAGTTCATGTCATGTAACTGGAAAAAAGTTGAACTTTCAACAGTTTGTTACCAATTTGCAAGGAATAAGGAATACAAATTCGGTTTCTGAAGTGCTTCAATTGTAAATTCCAAACATTGTTCACACTTTTAAAGCTCAAGAGCAGCTGCTCTGTTTGCTTTTTGATCAACGTGCTGTTTGTGAAACAGTTTGGGACAAATGTTGAAGACACCATTTGTTAAAGACCAGTTACAAGCTACAAGATTTGCTTCCTGCACAGAAATCCATTTTTAAGCTAATCATTTCACGCAAAAACATTTGACTTCATTTACTCAAACTTCTCGTACTTACCCTACCATTACATGGCACTAAAGTATTGTAGTAAATCCCTGCTCCATAGCTCTGTATACTACTTATCTGTTTTGGCCCAAAAACTTTTAGGAAGGAATAATGACTCCTGTTCTTTAACAAGTTCATCATATGCCAGGTCATGGAATCATCAACAACAAACACGAAGTCCAGCATATTGTTCTGTGGATTAGGAGAAAAGTATAGGGGTTTATATGTCAGGAAGCAAGCGACGTTAATCATATTCATCTACGATACACATAGGGTCGAACTGCCTGCTAATAATTTCTTGCGCAAGTAAAAAAAGATAAAACCAAAACATAAGCATTAATGCTAAGTACACTTCAAAGGTTCTGATGAAGTTTTATGTTTTCTAATCAGTCTAGCAGAGACAATCCAAAGTTTTCCTCTCTTCCTGGTTAAGTGACCAACCTTCATCCCTCTGAAACATGATGAGATCTTCATCATCCTAGTTCGCAGATCAGCATACAGCTTAAACCACTAACGAACAGGACTTTTTGCTAATATGCAAGGCCATGGATTGGGAGATGCGGGCAGATTAAAGCCACCTTACAGCTGGCAGCAAGAAACTGCACTTCTTCCACTTGCTTTTGCCAACAAAACAATCCAAACTCTGTACAAGTTTTGCAACACACAATGCACGCTCTGCTCTTCTGAAGAAACCACTCCACACATTCCCCGTGTGCAAAGTGACAGTTTACTACTCATACCTACAACAAACTGGTATTTGGAGTGACGTTGCTTCAAATTCATTAGGCCTACCTCTCTCAGTGGTTTAGTAATTCTGGGCTGCATCTTAGCTAATCAGTTAATACTACTAAAAAGACAGTCTGTTAGCTTCCTTTTTCCCCCCATTCTTTTGCATGAGGATGAGATGCTGCTAGAGCTCTGAAATTCTTATTACCCTCCATTTTTCCCTTTTCAGAAATGAAAGCAAGGCACATTTAAAGCCGCATTTGTGGGGAGCACTTAACAGGCAAGCCATAATGAGCAATTATTGCCTATTAACAAGTTTAAAAAGGTCGAACACATACACCCCCCCCCAAAAAAAGTCACTATTTCCAAGCAGCTTGACCTTCAACCAATGAGGAAGCGCCAAGTGTGGCAACGGGTTTTGCTTAAGTTGCCCTCATACGGCGCACAGCGAACCGGCTGTTTGGAGCAGCTGTAATTCTTTCTCTCAAAGCCAACAGTAAACAAGCTCTGACAGACAGTCGGCCGCCACAAGGCTGCAGGGGCACCCGAGCCACACGTGCTGACGGACGG